TTGTCATAGTTAACAATGTCCACATTCAAGTCATCACTAAGTTCACCAAACAAACCTTTAATCCATATCACATGTAAATTATTTTAGAAAACCCTTCACTTGGCATGATTGGCAAAAAAAAAAAAAAACTCAGTCACTATCACTACTATCACTTGTTAAAATATTTTGTTCTTTGCTACTATTGATCTTGCATATCGATTAAGAATTCGATAAATGACTCAAGTAAAAATTACTAAAAAGGCTCTATGTAATTCAAATAAAACACATTAGTACAAACAAAGTACATTTAAACTTAACTACCAAGAATATCAACTATTGCCTTTTTCATAGAACACCAATCATCTCCCTCACTAGTAAATACAATCAATATAAAGAAGTCAAATACGGTGAGAAGCCAACCACTCTCGTGCTGCCACAAGGTCCGGCAACACAGTGGCACCGGATTTCTTCCAGTCCAAGGCATCCGGAGTTTTAAAGCGGTCCAACAACAATGCATGCATCCCAATACTCTTAGCAGGTAAATAGTCTTTTCGCATGCTATCTCCAATGTGCAAAGCTTCTTCGGGTGCTATATTTCCCGCCCTTTCTAAAGCAATTTTGTATAGTTTCGGGTCCGGTTTTTCAATGCCCTCAAGGCCCGAAAATACACCGAAATCCCATTCGGATCCCTGAGTTCCAAACGCCAACAAAACTATTTTATTGTATCACGTCGTTTTGTTAACACATTAAAATGTAACCTATATGTGAGTGTTTCTTTTTGAATTAATACAGACACGACTTAATACAAAAAGTCAAGGAAAACATGCTTTTTAACTTTTTAAATATCATTTATCATGACCACATTTTCACTTTCGGGAAAAAGAAGTGATTTTTTATATATTTTCATTTCTATTACAATATTTTACTTTTGAAGGCAATCGACTTTAAAAAATCTACCAAAATATAGCATTGTACTTCTAGTTTTTTTCCTTAATAAGTAATTGTACTTTGAAAAATCTTCCTAGTTATAGCAGTGAAAATCGCTTTCTTTTTTGGATATCATTGCTATATTTGGAAAGATTAACTAAAGTACAACGTTGTAATAAGATCATATGAAAGTAGAATACTATATGTAACAAACAAATGAAAGCAAGTTGCTATTTTTTGTATTCAATCCTAAAAACATGACCAAGTCACAGTACTAGAACCCTAAAATTCATTCAAATTTCATGGTTTTTGCTTCTAATCTTTCTACATTGACCAAAATATGATGGAATTGACTATGTTAAAAGCTATATTTCAAAAGAAAACAAAACAACTAACCTCATGTAAGCCTAGAGCTGGAAGAATTACATCTGGATACCTGTATTCTGCATTGCTAACAATTCCAACTGTCACACCTTGTGAACGAATCCATCTTAAAAACGGTTGAGAATCAGGGAATACTGTGTAAGGTGCAGCAGAACCAAAGGTGGAGTATATACGCCTGAATACTTTCTCAAATGTCTCTTCATCGAAATCATATCCTGCCTAAACAAACATTCCATACAAAAGGGTAAAATGGTCATTTACTCCCAATTCCCATTCCACAACAAACCAAAAGCACAACCAGTTTTGTCATGTCATGTCTAACAGATGAATCAAAGAAGTGATTAAAAAGTTCATAAAAGGTTAATCATATGATATTATCATATATTCATACCTTGATAAATGAATTTTTCACACATGTTTTCCACCATACAATGTTGGGCATTTTCTCAGCATGTCCAAAACATGGATATTTTTTTGCCATTTCTGTGTATGCGATTTTAAATCCATCATGAACCCTTTTGTAATCTGGACATGGAAGCCCTACAGATTTAGCAGCCATACAATAGTAGTCACCAAGCTCTCCCTTGTAAGCCATTAAAGTGCCAGTAACATCCACAGTGATGCATCTCAACTTTGTTATGATCGACATATTTGAAGCCGAAAGTTTGGGTTTTTTTTCTTTTAATCGAGATGATAGAACAAGAGCATTTAGATGATTATGTTCCACAAATCAAGTAGTTCCTGCATTTGAATGGAATGGAGCATTATGAAATAGTGAAAGATCTTGTTTGTTTGCCATGTAAGAAAGGAATCTGATTCTACTTTTTCATCCCCTCATGGAATGGACAAATAAAATGACGAACAAAATCAAATTTAATGATTTAGTCAACACATCGTTTCATCCCAGGTCAAACCGGAATCGATCGAATGCAAATGCAATAAACCATTCTTCCTCAAAATCAAATACAAGTAAATTTTCAAATCGAGCAACAGTAACAATAAAAAAACATAGATAGTTACCGATCAATCGATGTTTCGTGCTTGAAGTTAGCTCGAATAGTCAAAAGCCCACAAAAGAATAGAGAGATGAAATTGAGAAAAGATGGAGTTAAGTTGAGTAAATACCCAGAAGTTGAAATGGAGGAAGAGAGAATCTCAGTTGCTTCGTTTAAATCGCCATTGAAAGAAACGAAAGAGCTTTGGTTGTTTTTTCATACAAGGCACATCGAGTTAAATAATGATAATGATTCGATGGACTTCTTTTCGATTCCTTCAACAGTAGTACTCTTGGACGCTTTCCCGCGGCGCCCGGAGGTGAAACGAGGGGTGGTGATGGTGATGGTGATGTTTGCCCGAGAGATAGAATTTGCTGTTTTCCGAGAGATAGAATTTGCTCTTGCTGGCTATGGAGGTAAGGTTGTTACATAAAAGGTCCCTATGATCTCGATTTGTTTCTATTTTTACCCACTTTTACTTCTGCTTTTCATGCTACACCATGTTCTTGCTTCATGTGGATAAAAAATGAATAAGGAAAAAAGGTTTAAGAAAATAAATTAAGTTAATTTATTTTTTTCATTAAGGTTATTAAGTTAAATAAAAATCACCTAAATATGTTCAAATAAAAATGTACAATTTGACTATTTTGTGGTTAATTTTATCATGTTTGATATTATTGTCAATTAATGGAAGTTGGGGGGCTGCAATGTATTTTCAGAGTTTATTTGAGAAAACCGTGGACGCAATCCATGCCTCCGGTTTTGTTTAAAAATCACAATAATGACTAATGAGCGTCAAGTTTTAGGCTCAAAGTAAACTTAAAACAGCACGTTTCTAGGTAGGGTGGATTAAGATGTAAAACAAATTTTATTATTTTAATAATTTTGCTACATATAGACATGCTATAATTGATTTAAAGCGTAATGTAGCAAAAGGCTTATACTAATTAAGTGCAATAACATATTCAATAAGATAAATTTGAATTTTTTATTGAACATTATTAGTTTTAATATTCTATAATGATTGGTAAAATAGGATTATTTAGTCCTATTGTTAAAATATCAAAGGGAAGCAATTTGTTGGAAGTAAAGATGTTTGAAAAACAAATGAATACGAACTCTAAAAATGCAACAAAACAACTAGCTCATAAAAGAGGAAGAAAGGTTTTTTCTTTCTTAGTTCTTATAATTATTATTTATTTGTATTGACAATACGATGGTTGATGTAATAGCTCAAATATGAAAGAGAAACTGTGATTATAAATTTATTTGTTTGTAACTTTTTATTTAATATTTAGGAAGAGCATGACGTTATTACATTGGTTACACATCACATTGAAAGTATTTTCAACGCACTTATTAATATTGTTGTGTACTTGAATACGGGATCCATTAACTTATTTGAACTACAGTGGAAAAAAGTTTTTGGGCAATTAACTCCAATCCTATACAAATGAGACATTTTGTTGTAATAGGTTAATTTCAACAAAACTTTTAATTTTCATGATTTTTGGTTTAAACTAAAAAGTTTTTTTTACCAATTAAGATCGATCATTTTTTCAAAAACATTTTTTTGACCTTTATGTTTGAGTCGCGCAGACAGCACGTAGATGCTTAGACGTATGCTCTTACAGATCGTTTTTTTTAAAGATCGTAAACCTAAAAAGGTATGTGTGTCATCTTCTTAGTATCAAGATTCATTTCTTATTTTATTCTATAGTAAATTATACGAATAATCTATGTGGTTTGAGGTAATTTGTATTTCGGTTCCATACTTCTTTTTTTAACTCGGATGATTCTTAGAATTTATTTTTGTTGCGCATTAGGTCTCTCACAGACATAAAAACACTATATTTCCCTTATTGAATATTTTTTTAATTTATTTATTTTTTTATTATTTACTTAAATCTTTTGTTTACTTGATTATTGGGAACCATTGTTCTTATCCAACCATTATCCTCCATCATTCATGTAACACCCGTTTTCCGGAATAGATCAATCTAGGGCATAAATGAGTCAAAGACATGGTTTTTGGGGAAAAATCATGTGTCACGATATGAGAACGCGTATCTGAAAGAGTGTCATGATGTGACTATTGTTGCAGTCCAAACTCATAATCTTTTAGGGTTTCCTTCGTATTTAAGTCTCTTAATCACGAATTTAAAGTTTCATTTCCAGCCTCCATCACCTCCAAACAACCAATTGGCCAAACCATAGACCTCTTGAAGCTCTTGAGCTCATTTTGCAAGCTTTTGGTGGTTTTGAAGGAAGAAGAATAAATTTTGGTGCTTAGTTTCTCTAAGTAATCCCTTATCATCCGTGTATGTAGCTGTCTAGACTTGTTGTAAGTCCTCAAACTCTCATCTTTTTGTTGTATGCTTCTTGGATTTAGATTTTATGCCATATTTGCCTCATTAGTGAAGTTGGAATGGGTAGAAGAGATTAATTTTGCAACATTATGATTTTTTCAGAGTCTCAAGAATATTATATCTGATAGATCTAGGATGTGGTTGTGGTTTGGGGACCTTGCATGAACTTAAGGTCATATTTCATCTTTGGACCTAGATTTGGGAAAGGACATGAATAGGGCATGCATGTCCATAAAGTTTATATTCTTAGGGATCATTAGGGTCCCTACACCCCTTCTGGAAGTTTTGGATTTGATACTTTAAGGATTAAGTGCTTAATCGTTTACTCTAGGCCTTAAGTTACCATTAAGGACCTAGGTTTAGAGATCTTGGCTAATTGGGATGTCTTGATGGATGGGATGTCTTAATGGATAAAGTTGGAAACTTTATCCATCAAGACTTTGGGAAGAATCAGATCTGAGATTTGGAGCTCGTGGATTGGATAGAAAATATCTTAATCCATTAAGCCGTTGAAACCTAGTTTTCATGACGTAACGTCTTAGCTATCACGACGTGACGGTTAGGGGATACGCGACTATTTTGTCCTTATCATGTCACGATGTAAACAATAGGAGGTCTCGATGTTATGGCTCTTAGAAGTTGACTTCGACAGTTGACTTTTTCACTTGGATTGACTTTTGGTCAAAGTGCTATTTGTAGAGTATAGACTAAGGGTGGACCTTATCTGATTCAATAGGTGTGCTGTAGCACCGACTGCGTGACAGTTAGTTGTGGGTTATCTGAATACGTGAGACAGTTGAGTCTTCTCACTATACTATGTAGGGTGCTAGTTTTCTTTGTGACTCTTACACTGGTATACGGGGTCGGGCCCGTTGCATGCCGGGATGGCCCTATTTCATGTTGGTTTGGGCCCGTTTGTATGCTAGTTTGGGCCCATTTGCATGTTAGGTTGGGCTTGTTAGTATGCAGGGATGGGCCCGTTGAGATGTTGGGTTGGGCATGTTAGAATACTAGGTGGGCCCATTGTATGTTAGGTTGGGCCCGTTGTATGGTATGTGGTATTTTGGGGAACTTACTAATCTTCATGCTTACGGTTTGTGGTTTAAACATTTTCAGGTACTTCCAGTTTCAAAAGGGAAGGGCCCGGATCGACTGCATAGCATCTCATGATGGCTTTTCTACACTGATTATATTTGTTTTACTATGATGTTTGGAAGATACAATTTACTCTGATTGTATTGGAACAAATGGTTGAATGCAATTGAGGGTTTAAAAGGAAAATTTATATGACTATTTTTGGGACATTACAGGTTGGTATCAGAGCCTTAGTTGAAGGGATTCGGACACACTTTTGGGTGTTTCTGAACTCAAACTGAGGAATTGATAAACTTTCTAAAAGAAAATAAGTTTTCTTAAAAGGTTTTTGCAAAGAAAGGGGTGTGATACGTGCAATCAGCCGAGCTCAAGTAAGTGAATCCCAAAATACACATACATGAGTATTATGTTTAGTATGTTATTATATGAATTGCATGATAGAGTAGGGCTAAGGATACCTTCAAGAATCTCATGATAGAATTGCCTAAATTAGGTGATGCCTTGTAGCCTAAGAGGAATTGGAATGTTAAGTATTACTTGGAACCTATATTGGCAGAGTTAATTGCTAAGTGTATGTTTAAAAATTGTATAAAATTAGGATCATATAGCCTTAAATGATTGATTTTGTGACGCCCCATTTCTGGTATGTGATTTAAATAAAGTAATTTTCATTTCTTAAGGGGTACTCGACGAGTCAGTAGCCCTACTCGTCGAGTTGAGACGGGATTTGCACGCGGTTTAAGTTGGCGACTCGATGAGTCCATATTCTCGGACTCGGCGGGTCTGCCAGTCTGGATGAAAACCTAATTTCAAGGGTTTACACCCTATTTAAACGTCATTATAGCCCCAAACCAGCCTCCTCCACTTCCCAGAGACTTATTCCCGAAACCCTAGCCTCCTTAAAGTGTGTGTGAGTGATCTTTGCCTTGTGAAGGAACCTTTGGTGCATTTTGGAGCAAGGAGAAGAAGGAGAAGGTAGAAGAACTCAAGGAAGAAGAAGTAGATCCAGAATACACTCCTCTTTGGCCATCCCTTCTAGTAATGAAGCTTCCATCTTGATTATTGTGCTAATAGATCTAGTTTGTCCCCAAATTATTGGTTTTAAGCTCAAAAACCCCAAATCCTTTGTGATAAAGCATTGTGATCGAGTCATATCTTAGATCTAACCTCTCTTGAGCTCCAGAAGCTCAAGGAGAGAACCTTTTGGCAGCCATGGCTTTGTTTTAGTCAAGTAACCCCCCATAATAGCAAAGTATGAGTGTTATTGCCTCATTGCATCTTAGATACACGTAAAGTTAGCAACTTTATGTGTTCAAGTAGTCCGAGAAGCTTAGATCTATAAATTGGATGCACTAAAGTTGATTAGAATCGACTGTATGGAATCTACATACAAAGGACTCGGCGAGTCGTTCTTCTGACTCAACGAGTCGGTTCGCGAGTCTTAGATTCCCGATTCAGTAGTAGCGAGCCTGTGTAGTGAGTAGAGTAAGGACTAGTGAGTTAAGACTTGGATCTGGAAGTAGACAGACTCGACGAGTTGTTCATATGACTCGGAGAGTTATAGACTGGGTGTGTTCTTCTGTTGAAGGGGAACTCGATGAGTTGTTCATACAACTCGGTGAGTCAGTTGAAGGTCGACTCGATATTAATGTAGAAGGAGAACTCGTTGAGTCTTTTCCAAACTCGACGAGTAGAGTCGGGTGGGGGAATAGAAGGAAGGATAGGGACTCGACGAGTTGACGGCCTAACTCGGCGAGTCAAGTCAACTGGAAGTTGACTTTGACGAGGACATTGACCTTGACCAGAGGGTAAAATAGTCATTTTACCCTAAGATTAGTTATCAGTGTTTGATTAAGTGTTTTTATAGGAATTGTAGTCGGTGAGCTACCACAGCAGCAGTCAAACAGTTCTCAATCAGCATTTCAGTAGTCAGTCGTACGAGGTGA